CAGCTCAGCGAGCTTGTATTGTTTTAGAGTCTGCATGAAATCAAACAGTATTACTAAAATTGCCACAAAAGATAAAATAGGATGAGCAGAAAAGGAGAAGAGACCTTATATCTTTTTGACAAGCTATTGCAATCATCCGACTTCACAAGGCAACTTCTCAGATGAGTCCATTTATCAGTGTCATTGAGCTTGATTTAAAATAAACAAATCAAGTTATACCAGCATAGATGATTGTGAATTAACTGCACTAATGAAAGAAACCTTCCAAGCAAAGAGTTGGGGCATGCCTGTTTGACGAACCAAGAACTGTAGTCCTGAAGACGATACTCTTTATATCTGTATAGAACATGAGAAATGACAACACAGAACCATATGCATGCAATGTGTTCCATTACTTAAAGAAATTTCATTCACAGTTCATGTAGTGACAATCAGGCAGTTTCCGACTGCGCATATATCAACAAAACTGCATCACAGCCACATAGTGCAACTGTTAAGACAAATAGTGATATATTACTTCGACTTGTCAGTTCCGCATTTCAATCATCCTCTATTCCTAAATAGTTGTGACCCACTACCTATTTTTCCTAAACATGCAAGGATGCCACATCAGCAGGTAATGCATGTCTGTCATGTCATCACCTGCCATCTCATGCATGTCGTGTGGAGAATCGATTAGAGATGGCCCTACAGATTGATTATTGGTATTTGGATTAAAAAGTGAAAAGAGGAAGTGGAGAAGGCATGACATGCCATAGATACTGAGCTCATTTTTAACACAGTTTGTGTTTGTGGTGTGTTAGCAATAATTCATAGCTATATGTCTTTGAGCTTTTCCCGCAGTAAACGCCCGGGGAATCATCTAGTTATATAAACATTAGTAATATAAATTCAGATACCTGGACCCAGGAACAGCATGACCAGTTCCAGTATTTGTAATGATAAACCTGAAAAGGTACATGGCGAGGTGTGTTAACACAACTTGCAACCACTAAAGTCAGTTATGAAGTCAATTGATGATTAACCACTGAACTTTCACTAGGATTTAATTCCATCAAGCAATCAGTGCACACCGCAGCTAATTTTCAAATAAAAAGTACACAATGATTGCCACCAACTGGAAAGGTTGTGCTAGGTGCTATCCCAAATGAATCACAGGAACTTACGCAAGCACTGTGAAGACCATGATTGCCACCAGGACCACGAACAGCATTATTAGATACTAGATACCCACATGTCAAGGCGACAAATAACCCCAAGGGTATCAAGATAGCAGACAACATCAGCAGCACCAACCAGCACTCATGCCGCCGTAAGTTTAATAGTTTATGCATCCGATGCCACAAAAAGGATACTGTCCAAAGCAAGCAAGAAATGTTCTTCCAAGCACCCACAAATCCCGCCAGCGACCTGCGGCATCGACACTGAACCATGTCAATTCGGAGCATGACTACTAACGACTAACGTGGTGGGAATAATATGATACAATTCCATGGACGCATACATACATGAGAAAAATGACTCCTCCAAGACCCATGACAGGGATTGTGAGTGACCGCCGGCACTCGTCATTGTGGGTGCTCATCCAAAACCCAAAACCCACCACAAGTATCGCCAGTATCTGTTCAACAAAGAGCATGAGGAGCATCATGATGCGTGGATCCCTACCTGCATGCCTTAACATTAAATTATTATACTGTAAATAAAGAGTTCCCAAAGAAAGATGTTAAGAACGGTGAAGAACCCATAAACGTGCTGGGATAACTGGATAACGATGCAGTACAGCTAGAGCTCAACAGAGACACGCTGCTGAGCAAAGACACCAAATGAAACGGGAACAAATCAAGAAGTGGCGTGTCCATCTAGTAGTATCTAATAGTGCTCTTCAGTGAAAAGTTTCGAAGCGGGTGGGCCATCGGGAAGCAACTGGGAAAAGGGGAGCGAGGAGGGAAGGGAAGCTGACTGACCATGGTGAGGAAGTTGATCCACCTGATGACGAAGGTGCTGGTGCTGCTGCCGGCCATCCCGAATCAGCTGCGGACGACGCTGGCCACCCGCCTCCGTCAGACGATTCCGCGCGGAGCAGAGACAGACTGGGGAGTCGAGATCTGGGAGTACGCCGCCGGAGACGCGAGGCTGGGGTCCTGGCGGCGCGGCACCTAGGTAGGTGTCAGCGTGGGAGTGGGAGTGGGAGTGTGTGCTGTTGATTTGTGTGGGCTTGAAGACAGCGGTCGCAGTTAAGCTTGGCACGGGCAGGTGTGGGGCCGACTGGTCAGAGGGAT